TGGCGACGGGAATGCGAAGACTTGACAGACGCCTCCGCGCTTCCCATCGTCACAGTCGACTGCGCCACGCGGGATAGTTTCTTCTGAACAATATGGTAGTATATCGTTATATAATTAATTAATAAACCAAATAATAAAGCTATAAGACTCTAAGGTTTGCTAAATAACTATTTCCAATGCTAAAAGATGGATGTCTTTTATCATTTTTATTTGCAAAGAAAATGAAAGGGATGACAAATTGTTTTAGTACAGGCGTTCCGACAGTGAATCTGAATGAGGTAAAATATCCAGTTATTGGTCACTTGCCGATACTTCATTGAATATTTATTTACTCGAGGATATTATGAGTACAACAAAATACCTTCGGTGAATCAGCCTTCAATGCTTTATCGCTGCTATAGTCTGTAACTTTTTGCAGCACTTCGCTCTCCGCCACTAAATTGTCTTCGGAAGTAAACACTGATGTAGTGCTACTCTATAAAGGAACCATAAATATTATGCTTCATAACATACTTAGGTTTCTATGATACAACTAAATTCATAATTCAGAGCCCTAACAAGACAAATTAGTAATGTTAGGAAGAAAATACGATACTGTGTCGGGTAATGGCGCAACACTAGCCTTATTAAAATGTCAACGTTTATGTCCCCTCACTATTCATTCTGGCATTAGACTTTGAAACGAAAGCGCGCCATTCGCGTCAAAGCATTCTAACTAATAATGTCTAAAAGTAATAAGTACAATCGTTTTAATCTTAAGTGTAAATGTTTTCTAATTTGACAAGTAATCATAACGCTTTAATAAATTCAGTGGCGTTTCTAAGGTCTTAAAAGAGCAAATAATAGCTTAAAGAATCCTAGAATTACGTAAGCTGGGATTAGGCTTTGATTTCTTTTGACAGTACCGCCACTGAATAATTGTATAGAGTTGGATAACTTTGAATGGATACTTCGTAGTCCTGCGATCCCCCTGCTTCACTACTTATGTCTTCTTCCTCTAACTCAATGTTCACTCTTCCAGGAAACCTTAATGTCAAACAGAAAATAAAATATCGTATATTATATTATCCAAACATACGTGAAACATTATCGTTAACTGATATAGGCTAAAACACTCACGTATGTTCGTCCGGTGTCGGCACCGACTAGACATCAGGGTGAGTGGGACTGGTATTATTTCGCTTAGTGAGGGAAGAGCCGCGCCCGCGAAACTAATCGGTGCCGACATGGGATGAACTTACATGAGTTTTAGCTGTTTATATATTAGTTTAAAATATAGAATATTTTAAACTACTCCGTGATGACTGTTTGCATTTCTAGGATACGTTAAATTAATTGTCAATTACGTCGAATCTATATAATAATTCATTTTGTTTCCTTTTATCTCAATATAACAATTATACTTAAATAAACATATATTGTACCAGCATTCTTCCGGTATTTCCTCTATGACCGGATAATCCAAAGAAGTAATACTAAAGCCTTCTTTAGGTATATCCTTAGTTTCATCTTCCAACACAACAAGCTTCTGTCGACAGAAAGGGTCACGCGGCGAAGGCTCTGGAGGCTCATCGGGCTGCCAGGAGGCTTCGCGCTTCGGTATGAAACAAGCAGGCGAAGCACTCACCTCTTCGCCTGGATCGTGACGATAAAAATACCTAGAAGGAATTTATTAATGCTAGCCTAACCTATATTTAAAGCAAACATCCTTTACAAGGTCGAAATTCCGTCTAGTTAATAAGATGATCAAAAACCACCAACAACACGTCAAAAGCATTAAATCAGGTATAATTTGCTCTTCAACAATTCATCAAAATCAGTGGCCATCATTTGATGATACGGAATAACAAGTTATGGTAAATCACCATTTGCAAGCAGTTCATCTCACCGCCAATTGTGACACTTAGTTTTTTTTAACGAAGAAATGATTCTGTGATTCATACCAATCGATGATTTTCAGCCATGCTTTGACAGCGCAATGTACGGTGAATGCGACATTTTGCTTTTTCATATAGTTCAGATAGCAGATATTCAAAGCCGTTTCGAATATTTCCTCTCGAATGTCGTATATCATCAGATCGTTTTCCTCCTTTTGAAAAATTTCTACCCTATTCATGTTATGTCATAAAAAAAGAATATATAAATACTTATGAAAAAATAAAATTACATATACTAGAACGTGATTTTCTGTCTTGAAAACGAAAATCATGTTCCGCATATTATAGCAAACAGAACACAATAAATTTCATAAACATGAACGAAAGTCAATTTACCAAGTCCTCTCCGGTATATCCTTTGGTAACGCTGTAATAATCTTAGAATCCTCGAAGAGAGATAATTTTTTACCCCTCCTTGTTATGTTGTACTTACTTTTATTAATAAAAGTCCTACTAATAGTGGACATAATTAATTTTATGTAATAAATTGAAAACAACCAAACAGTTTTTTCCGTGTCATAAAGTCATATGAAGGACAAAGACTATACACAGTATATTCAATAGCTGCCGTATTCTAAGCCGTTTTAAACCAAAAATTTACAAAAAAAATGTGAAACTTATTCAATTAATCCATTTTTTTACGTTTACCTACACTATTTAGTTCTGAAATATTAAAGATAATTTGACGCAACTACTACTATTAATTTATCTATAATCGGCTCAGATACCTAAATTAGATTCATGGTTATCTAAAATTGATAAGTTTATCAGTGTGTTTAATGTAATACTGAGCTTGAATAAACAAGAGCTTTGCATGATATTTTTATAATTTTGTACTCTATCTTTCCTTAACATTTCAGAGGAAGAAACCGTGGCCGGAAACATTAGCTATGGTTTTCTGATTTGACAAATATTTGAAAAAGAAACTTGACATTAAAACAGAACGCCAAATACAAAAGTGACAGTTTTTAATTGCAGAATATTTGATGTGCAAAAAATGTTAAATACTTTAGTTTATTAAACAGTTGATTATATTAAAATGACCGTTAAATAACGAGTGTAAATATACAGTAACTAGACTGTGGCTAGTTCCTATTGTTTACTCACAATGTATACTTTGAAAGGTATATTCCCAGAGCCCAGTAAGTGTCAAAAAAATCGTTTATTTGAATGTTTTAAATTGTATTCTCGTAATGCACGACCTCAATGATATTTGAAAAGCAGTATGAATAGTAATTAGAACTATAAGTAAATGTAGTTTTCTATCCTGTTCCAATATATTTTACGTCCATGAAATTTTTTTTTCAGAAAAGGAACAGAAAAAGAACTTTATCAAAGAAAATATGAAGCAGCTTAAATTTCTTCAGGGTAAATCGCCCCGTGAGCAGGAGTTGGCTGTAAAAAAAGTCCAGCAGCCGCGGAAAATGACCGCGTCTGCGGACAATAATTTAAACATTATTAAGCCAACATCATCAAGTAAAAGCAAACCGTCACTTGTTGTATCCAAAAATAATTCACCAACTTCTCGAAGAAGGCATCCCGATATTCGTATAAAGAAAGGCGACATGGCTGAGTTTCTGAAACGGAAAGAATTGAGAAACAAAACTAGAGTAAAAAATGATAGCCCTGATGAGATTGAAGACGATGATTCTATTTCATCTGGTCGTTTGAGGGACATTGGTTGTCAAACTATTGAGTCAAATCTTGCGCATAAATTGAATGAAAGTACAAAACTAACGGTGCTTTATCCGAAACAAGACTTTGATGACAATGACAACAAAGCCAATGCAAGTGGAGATTCAGCTAGGAACAGGAGATCATCCCCAAGTCCGAGGAATATATATCGATCTGGTGACGAAGGGTTGGACATGGATAAGACTCATAGTCGCTTAAATGCCATCCTTGAGAGAAAAGGAAAAGACCCATACTTACCAACGGGTATTTATAATATAAGTGCAATAATAACTAAATCACTTTCCAAACAAAGCATTTATCTGTTAGATTTTTTTACAGTTGCATTTTGTTTTATTCAATAATAAAAAAGAAAATTTTCTATTGAAACAATTGAAAAAAAGAATGATTTCTAATTTTTCACCTTTCAGGTTACCAGAAAGGTGTTTTGCCAAAGTACTTACGTGACCGCAAAGAGCAAGGACCTAAGGAGATAGAAGGTGCAAAAGCTGATGACTCCTCCACTTGCCCGCCTGGCCACGTTCCATTACCTGACACCGAGAGGAAGGAGACATTGAGGATGCTTAGAAATAGTATGTATTTTTTATATTTATTATGCTTATACTTTATTTAATATATTTATTGACATCTTAATTTGATAGATGACAATGTTACAGAATTAAAAATGCATTTTATTTGCTATTCAAATGTCTAAAAATAGAAAATGTTTGATTATAATATTCTGCAAAATGGATTGAATGAATTTATCTGGATTTCTCTCTGTATTTATCAATTAATGTATATTTTTCAGGCTTCGCAGAACTCGTAAGTGAACTAAACAAAATGCCGGTGAAGACGGACACTTTACGGATGCGAAACAGAAAAATGGAGTTGGAAAAGCAACTCGCAAAGCTCGAAGAGGGCATAAAGGTGTTCTCCAGACCAAAGGTCTATGTTAAAATTGGAGAGTAACCTTTTAATCAAAATATTTGCTTAGTTGACTGCAATCTTTCGAGAATTTTTTTTGTTTCAAAATCCAACTTATACAGTTCCTAATATGATGTGCTTGATGTTAGGTAGTTTACCAAATAGCACATGTTTTAAGATCTCAAATTCAATCCAGCCAGTATTATAGATTATATATTTAATTGTAAATTCTAGTGGAATGCGTAAGGTTATTTGTAATTTAGTATTAATGATTGTATCTTATATGATTCCTTGTAATTAATATAATGACATTTGTTTATATGGTGTACAGTGTTTTGGAATTTTAAATACATGTTTTATGCAGTTTACATTTTATAATGTTTGTATATAATTTTTGACATATTCTACTAAGCTGTGTTAAAGATTAGATAACACAGTATCAAAAGAGTTTATTAGTTAAATAATTATGAAATTAGATGGTTAGGAAAGTTTTAAAACATCGCATTTCTTGATAACACTCATAAATTTGTCTTCACTTTTTTACACCTTTATATTGTTAGGAAGAAAATCTGTAAACTGAGCAAGTGTATTGACTCAACACTAGCCTTACTAAAATGTCGACGTTTATGTCCCCTCACTATTCATTCTGACACTTGACGTTGTAACGAAAGCCATTCGCACCAAAAGATTAAAAATATTAAGTGAGTGTCCAATGTTAAATTGACAAGTGAGAAACAAAATTATTTCTCTAAATTTACAAAGACAGAACTCTGCTAATAATATCGAAAACAAAATTTTCAGTAGAAATTATATTTCTATAATATTTAAACAATGGTAAATTATCACATGACTGAAATAAAATAACTCTGTACTACTCAGTTATAAAATAAACTACAATTTTCTAACATGTTGGAAGAGGTATTTGTTAAATATAATTGGTCCCTTTCTGTATCGTAATTCGTCGTTGTTATGCCATTCGTAAAATGAAAAATCAGGAAAGAAGAATTTGATCTCCCGTTCTGCTGATACTGTTGAATCTGAAATGTAAAATATATCATTTAAATTTACATACTTTATAAATATTATTAAAAAATAAATTAAGCAACCTTAATGGGCTAGACAGACCAAACCATATTTTACCCAAATATAACCAAAGTATAAACAAAATTCGATGAAAATTTTGACATGTTCTTAGATTCATTACTATGTTGGATGAATTCTAATATATTTGGTTAAGTTTTACCTGATCCATGAGCTACATTTCTTGTGTCAGATATCCCAAACATTCCACGCAAGCTGTAGGGTTCTTGAAATTGTGCTTTATATACTTTGGTGGGTCCCAGCATTCTTCTCCATAAGTCTATGGCGTTTTTGTGAGCTATGACATGCAAATCTATACATCCACTAGAATAGAAAAAAATAAAAACACATGTAGGATAAATATAATAATAATAAGCAAAAATTGTACTACTAAAGATTGTGAAATATTTGTCATTGTTTCCTAGATAAACTAACTTAGATTTACATGGAAGTTATTGGAATTAATACCTAGCCATGAAAGTTACTAAACGATTAAAAAAGAATTTTCCTTCATGCTCCTGGTAAAAATCGCCCGCTTCATTTGCATCAAGAATAACCCTTCTCGTCCTCACCACCACAAATCTATTTTTTATAACATTTCTTATATATGAAACCGCGACTGGATTTTTCACGGCATGCGGCTTGATTATAGCTAGAGTCAGTTGTAATTTTTCCATGGTTTGTATTTAATTATCAACATCTTTATTTCTAAATTAATTAATTCTTTCAATTTTCGCAATTCTTAACATTTTGAAATTGTTCATAAACCTTGACACTGACGTTACATTTTGTCAACTAGTGTTCAGTGTTGTTAGCCTAATTTTTTTTTGTTTTAATGTTTAATCTGCCCAAAAGTTTTGTTCCGTTCTGGTAACATTAAAAAAGCTATTTGTCTATGTTCGTCTGTCAACCTGTCAAAACATTTAATTTGTTGATAAGTTTGTTTTCCCAGATTTTCAAAAAAATATCATTTAAAAATGCCTGAAATGGAGATAAAACGAAAAGCAGATGATCAATCAATAGTGCCGGCAAAAAAAATTCGCCATGAAATTTCAGTGGTGGGCACAAGAGAAAAAGCTGTTGTAACCTCTAATGTTCGTATTATTTAAAAAAACAACACTATTTACTATAATTTTTCAATTTAATCATAACAAAATAACTCACCTTATTTATCTTTTGATACATATTTAAATTTTTTAAGGTACCAAGAACTTCCAACCTATACGCGCCAATAATGTTATTAGAAGGGCATCAAGGAGAGATTTTCACGGCCAAGTTTCATCCTGAAGGCAAGCACTTGGCATCAGCAGGATTTGACAGACAAATATGTGAGTATATGTACTTTTTTACAGAAATCACAACAATGTTTGGAACCATAACATAAGACATTGCATTCATCATTCAGCATCATGTTCTTGTAATCGTTTGATTTACATTGTTTATTTTCAAAGAACTGTATATAAGAGATATTGTTGTTAATATTACTGTAAACTACATCATTATCTATCAATTGAATTGTAATTTTTAATTAATTAAATATATATTTACACATTTCAGTTTTATGGAATGTCTATGGTCAATGTGAGAATGTAATGGTCATGAAGGGTCACACGGGAGCGATAATGGAGCTCTGCTTCTCTCCCGATGGATCTCACCTGTACACATGTGCCACAGACAATACAGTGGCTGTCTGGGATGTGCCCACTGGGACTAGGATTAAGAAATTAAAAGGACATGCCAACTTTGTTAACAGTGTTTCAGGTGACCTATTTCTTTATGCAAATATTTAGTCAATAGCAATGATTTTTTTTATTAAACATAAAAAGCAATCAGTTTTACATGTTCAGTACCAACAACTAGCCCTCAGTTTATTATAGGTTTTGTACTAAAGATTTATGTGACACCCAAAAGATAAAAAATGCATTTTTTTAATATGTATGTTTAAAATTTTCAAGGAGCCAGAAGAGGTCCTGAATTGTTGGTTTCCGCATCTGACGATAATACAATAAAATTATGGGACGCAAGAAAAAGGAATCCTATCGCCTCATTTGATAATGGCTACCCGGTTACCTCAGTTCTGTTTAATGACACAGCTGAAAAGATTATATCAGGAGGCTTAGATAATGTAGTCAAAGTGTGGGACATCAGAAATAATCAGATATCTTATAAAATAAAGGGACACACGGATACTATAACAGGTATGTTTGTAAATATTTTGGCTTCTTAAATTATTTTACAGTGTTAGAATAATTTAGGATGTTAACATTTTAATGTAATTGATATGTCCTAAAAGTACACTTTAATATGTAAAAATACTAAAGGCACTGAATTAGTTATGTACGTCAAAAGCTGTAATTCTTTATCCAACAAAATTCACATTTTTTTGCATGTAATTGAAAAAATTATCATCAATAATTCTACAAAATTTATTATCATCTCTCTATAGAGATTCAGTGCATCATTTTTATTATAATTTTTTTAATAGCTCCAATGTTTCGTTCATTATAATAAACCTATCCTCATTTATTCAGGTTTATCACTATCTTATGATGGATCATATCTACTATCAAACTCAATGGATGGCACTATACGCATCTGGGATGTAAGACCGTTCGCACCCGCGGAGCGCTGCGTCAAACTCATGTCAGGTCATCAGCATAACTTTGAGAGGAATCTACTCAGATGTGCCTGGTCTGCTGATGGCTCTAAGGTATTTAATTAATGTATATTTATACTGGAAATTATAGTTACATGGGATAGAATATTAAAACATCCAAATACTTCCTACTGCAGTCAGATTTTTACTTAAGTATTTGCAATTTATTATATACCCCTCTATCTATGTTATTCTCTCCTGTCCCACTGGGTTGCCTGGAGAGATCGCTTGTAGCGATAAGGCCGCCCTTGCTTTGTAATTTAGTTAATTGTCTTTTTTTATGTACTATGTTAGCATTAAGAGTTAATAAATAAATATTTGCTTAGTGTAAATTTCTCGTACTGAAACTATACTAAGTTAAGGATAATTTAAATGGATGGTCGTAGCTTGGAATTAACTTAAAAAGTTCATAATTGCATAACTCTTTTGCTTGCAATCTTAAAATGAGCACAAATCTAAAATTGATACTCTTAGTGTAAAATGTAGCATTCAAAGGGTTACTTTTTTGTAGGTCGCAGCGGGTTCATCAGATCGTTTTCTATACATTTGGGACACGACATCGCGCCGCGTGTTGTACAAACTGCCAGGTCATAATGGCTCAGTTAATGCAGTCGACTTCCACCAGACTGAGCCCATTGTACTCTCAGCGTCAAGTGACAAGCAAATATACCTCGGAGAGATTGACCATTAATTAATGCATGTCTATGGTATTTGTAAGAATAATTTAAGGGAATAAAAGAGTTTTAAATTACATGATTTATTGTATTTTATGTAGCCAATAAATTTAAGAAAATATTACATAAAAAAAACTTTTGTATTCAGTATGGTTAACTATTGCAGTAAAAAAAATATCAGAGTTTATTAACTCATTACTCATTACTATGGGTTTCTGAGATCAAAATCCCCATTTAAAACTTATTGTCTGTATCTCAGTTTTATCAAAGATAATGGCATGATAAAGGCATAATGATATGTTTTAAACACAAATTTTGGTCTCGGAAATCAACTTTTAACATATAACATATAACTAATAACATTTTGCAAATTTTTACTTAATTAAATTGAATTTGCATTTAATTGTGACAAGTAGTAATTACATACAGTACAAAATTATGATTTCTATTGTAAACTTAAAAGGAGTATTTACACAATTTGTTGCTATTTACTTAATATAAAAAGTGTTCAAAAACATAATTCTCTAGGAGGTGGCAATTCTGGAATAAAGCCTAATTTAAATTCGCTACTCTTAAAAGCTTCTAACTCATCATTAGATAAATCTTCCAATTTGCTGTAAATATCATCATTTGCATCAGATTTCTGTTCAAATACGTTGCTAAAAACATTTTGTGAATTCTTTCTTTCAAAAACATCACTTGGTTGATCAGGTTTTTGAAAAACATTAACGGCTGGTTGACTTGGAAATACATTTTGTCCAACTGAATCCGTTGGAGCAAAAATGCTTTGTTTTGTTGTGACGAAAACATTAACAGGGTTATTTGTAGGTGTTGGTCCAAACATCTTTTGAGTTTCTTGCGCAAATAATGACTTAGGTGCTGTTTCATTCGTTGCAAAAATACTTGTGTTAGTTGGACCGAATGTTGCTTGGTTCGCTTCAGCGAAAATAGACTTAGCTGCAGTTTGTGTATTTGGACTGAATACACTTTGATTTGTGGTCTGATTGAAAACAGATGTGTTTGTATTACCCAAAGCACTTCTAAATAAAGATGATGCATTATTAGATGGAGTCAATGATGTTTGAGGAGTCGGTGTAACAGACTCTCCTTTGTAAAGGTTTCTTAATATTTTTATTGTATTTACTGTTGGTTGAAGTAATTGTTCATATTTATATCGTGATTCTCTGTACAGATTGTCAAAGTACGCCACCTAAACAAAAAAAAAGAGTTTAAGAAACACACCCATCCTTGTTTATGTTGTTGGCATTATTAAGGAACAGAGGTATAACTACATAGGATTCAGTAATCTTATTAATGTTTTAAATTCAAATGTTGCGATGAATTGAAGGTATCTCCAGTACGCTGAACGGATCCAGATGAAATTTGGCTTAGATGTAGCAATTAGTCAGGAAGAACACCTAGGGTACTACTTAAGGCGGCAGGCAGCTAGTCAATAATAAACTTACAGCTTGATCTACATTATTATTTGCTTTAGCTTCATACATAAATAACCTTGCTTCTTCAGGTGACAAATCTGACAGGCCTGGATATCCTGGCTTTTCTTTGAAGGGTGCGTAACTGGATATGATCCATTGCCCGCCCTTTAGCGCTGACTGAATATCAGACTTCACTTGGTTGACTAATTGTTCATCTGTCACAATATTTGTCTGTGCTGGTACTGGTGCAGTTTGGGCGGGAGGATTCGCTGAAAGCAATAATAAGTGATACGACAAATGTTACCAAGAAAGAACAAGAATATACATGATTACTTCATACATAACTGAAAACTAAATTATAAAAGTACAAACCATGATATGAATATTTGGAGCCATAAATATGTTCAAATCTGCAGTTTTGCCCGTAACGGCAATAGCCTTGTTGGAAAAACTTACAAACTACCATTATTAGGTCACTTTATACTATCACTACGGTCATATGTCATTAAATTGGATACGAGACAATAATTTACAGCACTTTAAAAACATTAAAACTTAAATAAAAACACAAACTTTGCGAAATTCGTTGTCAAGTTTAGACAGGTCAAATGTTTTTTGTTGTCAGTTGACATTGTCAAGATGTCAAGATATTAGTATTTTTCACCTTGTTAAACAAAGACGATGAGAACATTCAGTTGCTTATTTTTTTTTGTAAAAATTAATGTATACTCTTGAAAAAATATAATGTTTATTTGACGTACTTTCTTCGCAACCTTTTAGATAATAAAGTAAAAACAATTTAACGAAAAACTCAAGAAAGTATAAAATAACATTATGATATCCTAATGTAATTGATATGATAATTGTTATAATATTTTACATGTCTTTTTAAACTATTTGGATTATAAATCATCATCGCTCATGATATGACACAGTAAGAATTATCATAAAAAATAAAAATGTCAAACTCTTAGTTTCATAGGTTATATTATTTTATATTTTCTTTATTTGCGTTAAAATATGTTATTTCGTAAACGTATTTAATATTTACTGAATGTCCAATAAATGTAGAAAAGTTAATTTATGAAAGGAGGTAAATATGGTCGTTATATAGATATCTTCTAAATCTTTGAACCTTTATTCAAGTTCCAATATTCTTGTAATTTATTGATGTTCAAAATATTGGCCATTGCATTAAAATGATTTTATTCCATATTGTAGTCAAAATGAAACATTTAATTTGATAAATATGCCTCCCTTCTTTGTGCGCTGTTGATGTCAACTTACAACTGTTAATGTAAACAAACAAAGGAATAATTTTCAAGCCTTTTTTGGATTAACCTAAGAAGAAAGCATTTCCGAAAATTAATGAACGATAATTAGAATTGTCCATTACTTTCGTTAAGTACTTTAATTCCTGTTATCAACTTCAAAATTAAAATTTGGTTTAACTTAATTAAATAGTAATTTCATTATCATTTCTTTTCAGAATGACGGACAAAACTGTGTACATTTATGCCTCACAATGTATATTCGTTTGTGCTATTATATATGGTATGTAACATTAGTAAAAAATAAGAAATGACATTTATTTTGGTGACATTTGAAGCTCATATGCGATTAGGATGAAAACTTTTCATAGCATCGTATATGAAGAATTACAGCCCTTATTGAACAATTGAAACATATTTGAATATCTTGTATGTAATGATAGGATGTTGTATAACAATGTTTTCCTTCATAAGAATTTCAGGAAATGTACAACTTGAAAATCAAATAAAAAATTGTTACATAGTATGGATTGTACTTGGATTCATAGGCTAGGAGTTACTATTAGGTGTCTAATTTCATGAAGTTTTATTAGCAACTGTTGACCTTACATTCTCTCTGGTCAGAAACCTCACTCATCTTATATATAAAATTCTCATGTCCCAATTTTCGTTCTGAGTAGGTCTGAGAATCGGCCAACATCTATTTTTCATCCCCCTAAATGTTAGTCGGGTAACTAAGGGTAGTCGACCGCTAAATTTATTTTTTATTTTTTAGACAAACACGTGGACGGAGTCGCGGACGACAACTAGTAATGAATAAATGTGATATCTCTTGATAGCCCCCTTCCATCCTCGTGATATTTCGTGATTTTTTTAGGATACATTTCCCCCCTTTCGTGGCCCACGTAACTATTGGACGACCCATTACTGTAAACATTTCATGTCTCAAATTTCAATGACCTTAGTGGTCTTATTGTTTACATTTAATACTATACACACTGTTCCTTTTGTAACTTCTAACTAAAAGTGATAAGCTAAAGTAAGCTTTCAGTGCAAGTCATAAGAAATAGCGTATGCGAAAATTATTTAAAATAAAATCAACATTAAAAAACATATCAAATGAGAATGTAACTTATAGATATATCTGTAAATGTATTAATGACTATTGTCAGCACAGAAATAAATATATAGCCTGAGTTACTCTCGTATATATCAGCTATCTCACAGTCCAAGTCCTATTAAAATTGGTCCACTCGTTTCGGAGATTCTGGAACAAACGCGAATTTACTTACAGAAGACCAAAAAAAAAATATTTTTCGTTACAAGTACGTTTACGAAATGTGATCTTATTTCGTTATTACACAGACAGATTCTATCAGCGAGAAATGTATGCTTAATTTTATCCATATTTTTAGATTTATAAATATAAATGACCGTATTTTCTGCAACATTTTACTTCTTTTAATACAAGGTTGCCTTAATCTTGTACCCGCTATCGAATCCGCTTCCGCTTGTACAATAAACCAACATTTAACGGTCAAATTCCTTTGGGAAGATATAAACGAAAAGGCAGTGTTTTAAAATCAGTCTTAGTAGCAACTTGTTATAGTTTTATAACGAAATGATTTCGAAAAAAATATTAATAATTTTGTTTATCATTATTTTAGGTTACCAAGGGATACATTTAGAGAATGCGCATAAATGGATAAACATTGTCGGTAAGTAAATATTGAATATATAATTTTATTATACTAATTTATTTAGATTTTATTAATCCTACAAATATTATTAATGCGATTGTTTTAATGGATGTTTGTTAGAAGATATCTCCAGAACGTCTGCATGTATGTTCTGGAATAGGCTAATTATTAAGTTTTTTCTGAATTCCGAATGGATAGAGTCGCGGGACAGCCTGTAATTATCAATTGCCAAAACTGTAAAAAGTGTAGCTGGATGACCGGAGCTTTGCTCGGTATTTTTTTTTAAATTGTGTTTTTGGAAATTATATTTAAGTACGAATTACTAATAAAATGATGAAATATGAATAATATTTTTCAGTTGTGACTACTCAAACGCCTCCTTTTTGTTATTTTTCTTCCAAGTTTATGTTTAAGTTGATTATCGATAAAACACGTATAAAATGACATTTTCTAAAAATGATTCCTAGCTAGATCGATTTATCGCCCCCGAAACCCCCTATATACTAAATTTTATGAAAATCGTTGGAGCCGATTCCTATATTCCAATTATATTATATATTTATATATATACAAGAATTGCTCATTTAAAGATATAAGATAAGATAAATTAAATAAAAAAAACTCATTGTTTCACTGTCATGTTTGTGACAAATATTTTGTGTATTAACTCTGCTTATTCTCTTTTCAGCGCGCTATGTCGTCTATATGTTGATAATAAAAGGTTCCCGAGAGGCGTGTGCCTTAGGCTATTCTATTTTACAGGCACAAGAAAAATTTAATATTGAAGAAATAATAAAACACAGCAAGAAATATGCTTTTATATTTATAACATCGATAGCTATATTAATGTATAATAAACAAAGGATTCTTGATGAGGACTTCCTGCTTTGGTTTATAGCGTATTTGGTGACGAAATATCCGGAAGTGGTATGTAATTATTATTAATTTTAATTCTATGAAAACATAACAATATGTTTTTTAAATGTTTTTTTAGTGAAAATTGAGAAATAGATTATTTGTAACTTATTGAGATGGGTAATGATTTTCTAGGTTATGTGTTTTTGTGTGTGTGTTTGTGTGTATTTCAATTTAATTGAATCTATCCAAAATACTGAATCGAATTTGACATGTGAGGTGTCGTTCGATTATTGTTAAAAATACAGACGAATTAATAACCTTCTTTTTGAAGTCGGCCAAATAATAAATAAAAAAAAATTGTTTATAGATTTAATAAAGCTTAACATTATAAAATATGACATGATTAATTTGGAGTACTGTCATTTTTTTGCTTTCTAACCGTGGGTTTCTGAGAGATCCCCGTTTAAAACATATTGTTATCTCTGTTTTGTACATAATGACAGTGTCGCAGAAACCTATGGTAACTTACAAAAATAGTGTTTTTTTATATCGTAAGGTGGCAAACGAGCGTGCGGCCACCTGAAATCGCTGAAGTAGTAAAGCGACCGCTGCCCATAGACATACACAATTGCATATGCGTTGCCTACCTTTAATCGCAGGAGTAGAGGATGCACAGGAAGAAAATATTTTCCCTTCCTATGCATCCTCTCATCCGGAAAGTCCACTTCCACTTCCCATCCTTTCCTTATAAGAAAAAGGGTGGGAGGGGAAAGAGGACAAAATGAGGCCTCCGGGACGCACACTCATCAGATGAAACGCGGAATAGCTTCCACTTCACGCCTGTCTTCTGTGTGGTCGTGGTATTTCACCGGGCGAACCGGGACAATTCATGCGAAGATGTTAAAGCGGGCTCTACCACTGTTACCACTATACAGGAGACATAAGGTGATCTTAAGTCGTAATTTCAGGAATCAAATTTGGTTACCATAAACTACGGCGTGGGTATGGCGTGTAGTTACTTTGAAGGTTATTTAGTACATGTGATACCGAGCGATGGCGCGAAATTTGTCGGCTTTGAAGAAAACATGGATAAATACGCAGCTAAACAAGGCATCGTCTTCCCTGTGAAGAGATTATTTATCATTATATCTAAGTCCATGTACTGTCCACCTGATTTGAAGCATTTTAATAAAGCCAACAGAGAAGATTTGCCGTATCTAGAAGCTTGTCAGGTTAGTGATAAGGTTAGTGGGGGTTGTTTCGTTTGCTTTTGTTTTGTTTTTCGCAAACGCATTAACTCATCATATATTAGGTGCGCAACTAAGTTCTCCTGTTTGTCAGTAGATGGCTCTAGCAGTAAGAGCTGGTCGATTTTGACATATCCAAAACGTCATGAACCAAGCTTAGACATATGGTAAACAAACCGTTGCGACACATGAGTGATTTTGTTTTCGCATTATATATTATATGTTTCCTTTTTATTTTCATACTTTTTACATTTTTTTTGTACTAACTGTCGCTTACGACTTCGTTAGCGCGAAATTTAAAAAAAAAATCTTAATAAGTAACCTATGTGTTTTTCCCGACTACGTTCTACATTTATGCCAAATTTCACCGAGATCCATACAGCCGTTCTGAAGATACCATTTAAACATCCATCCATCTAAACATTCACATTTTACTATAATAATATTATAAATGCGAAAGTTTAAATGGATGGATGAAACGGATTTTAAAATTTTGCACGCATATAGAACGTAGTCTGGAAGAAGACATAGGTTACTTATTAAGTTTTTTTAAAGCTGTACGGACGGAGTTGCGGGCGATAGCTAGTTTATAATATTAATAAGATTTTGATCTCTCTTCTTTTATCGACTAGCCTCGCTAGACATGCTACTCATACAAATTCCTCTAATTCTATTTCTTTGGAAAAATGTATTTAGAAAAACTGACAGTCTTTTCACTGTTCGCTAACATTTATACATACACAAGTAATTGCTTGGGAATCATAGTTTTTGCTTTAGACTATTTGACTTTACTTCTAGTAATCGGTATTTCAGTCTTTAGAAGAGATAGAAAAGGACGTGGCGGGGGTGAAAAACCGCACGTACCGTAACTCCGCGTACAAAATATATCGGCCGGGCAAACCCCCTGTATACCTGTCCGCGGAATGCGCAACGCCGCTACACACGCTACACAGGGTGTTGCAGAAGACAGCGCTCTACGAAGGTTTTACGCAAATTATTATTATAAACCAGCCAGCAACTTGAGAATCACAGCTTATATTTCATGCCAACTTAAATAAGCCAGTTGAAGTTACTGTCAGTTAATTCTCTATTCCGTCAGCGCTAAAATGGCAGAATTCAAATAGGCACAAAGTACAACGGTTCATAACCTGTCCAGTATAAAGAGTCAATTTGAACACCACACAGGCTAAGCTAAAGTTACAAATTTTTGATTATAATATTGTTATTCCAGATTTAGCGAAGGTAAACGTACCCGAAGTGGTATCAGACTTCTGTCGCACGCTCGCCTCCGTCATAGCCAAGAGTCCCGAGTGCAGGGACAAGTGCGAACTCGTGTACTACGATGGTAAGTAGCCTCCGGAACACTCATCAGACTGTACACGGAATCCACCTTACGTCTTATGTCTCAACCACCTTAAAATGCTTGATGGTCGAGTAAAATTATTTTCTTTACCTTTAGATACGGACCCCAAAGCAAACTTAGCCAGCATATTGTTAAACAAGATTCGAGACTTGGAGCCAAACTTCGAGAATTTAAAGAACGAATAACATTTTGACTATGCGGGAGTTGGCACTGACGAAACATGTTTCAATGATTAATCAGTGCAAACTCATTTAAAGCAAATGACTATACTATGATAAACATAGATATGGTGATGCTTTTAATTTTTTTCCATAAATATAAGTAAAATTAAAAAAAATATGATTTTTATAATTATTCTTTGCATTTTATCATTCTTAAGTAATTTACCAAATTTATGTTAAGGCATTTTTTATATGTTTTTTAACTTAAGGTTTTTCAAACGCTTGACTTTTAGTAATAAGTATCGTTTTCACGTTTTGAAAAAACAGTAATAGGTAATAATAAGTATTTTATTATAAAGAAATTAGTGACCAAATTATCTGAAAGCTATTACACATTATTCCAAATTATAATACTGTGATTTTAATTATTATTTTCATAACTTTGATGTTCAAAAGCTTTTTTTTTATAGTTTAAGTTCAAGTGATTTAAAATAATAACGTATTATTACAATATCTTAACTAGTCTTATATTAAATTATTCAAACTTTCGTGAGACATTATACTAAACTGACTCATCCTGATGAAGGGCCCCCGATGTGCTCGAAACTAGTCGGTGCCGCCACCGGACGAATTTACGTGAGTGTTCAGCCGTGTTTATATATCAGTTTAGTCTTATATTATAAACTAAGTACAAAACATTACTTGTTATTTTTTTGTTAAGTTTCGAAGTGTACTGAAAACTAGCCGTCTTAAATAATTAGGCTTTAAAGTGCAAGAAATATAAGAGAAATTTCATTACTATTTTCTGAGTTTAGCGCGAACAAATATGCCAACATGTTCAAAAAGCGTGATACTCTTTGGCTCTTTGCTTTTTGTCTATGATATGATGTATCATAGATAAAATAATTAAAATTTAATTTTTTTACTTGGTGCTATGATTCTAATGCCTAGTAAATTAATTAATATTCTATCCTTGTAGTACAAAGTAAATTATATATGATAGATTGCATTTTAAAGGCTGAAATTATAGGATTTTTAAGGTTTGTACAATTTTAAGAGTATATAAAGAACAGTAAACACAAATTACGGTAACAATTGAATTAAATAAATAAGCAATGTTATGTAAATTGATGTAACGAAAAAAAAATTAATAATCTGTAATGTAAAATGTAATTTGATATATCATTGTATCCATGACAATTATATTTCGTTATGTTTTTGAATTTTCCAAACGTAGTACTTACAAAGTACATTTTATATAATTATTATCTTGTTAACTTTTTTGTTTTTTGACTTAAAATTGGTAATATTTTTTTTAATAAATGACAATTTTGTGATTATCAAGTTATTAAATATAAGAAGTACAATACTTTTATCGATTTGTCTTGTTTTATTTATCAATTTTTAAATTGTGTGATTTTTTTTCTGTTATTTTATTAATCTCGAACGCACCACAACTTAGGAGACTTACGGACTGCTCCTTGTGCTATTATGGATTTGTAGCCATGCCCTTCCACTCGATCTGTAGTAATATGTGATATGATTATAATTATTTTAAGCTTTTAATTAATTACATACGTTGAAATTAAAATCTTCATTTTTAATTACTCTGTGGAAATGTTGGCTGAAAACCTGTTACTTTTTACCTTCTGAAACATGACAGTTGTCTTTGATTTAAAACCTTAAAACGTCAAAACAAACTCACGTGTGTTTTGCAAGGTTTGTAGTTGAAGTTTAGAGATATTTTTAATAATTTAATGATAGTATTACAAAAATGGGAAAACGAAAATATGATAACACGGAAACAGATCCTGCGAAAAAGATTAAACCCGATGATATAGAAAATAATGATGAAATCGAATCAAAGCAACCTCAAAGTGATGAAACCTCTCAAATTAAAAAGTCTTTGCAAAAGCACAGTTTTGATATGAAACACTTCAGAAAAGAATTAGCTTCGAAACAGGGACAAACGATGGGTAAGCGTGTATTCTTTTGTTACATTATTTTGTGAAACAACAAAATAAGTGTGACGGTTCTTAACCTTGTTTTTCTATGTCTATTATTCAAATGAATTGACTTACTTTTTTAAAACGCATAAAACATACTGAAACTTTAAATTCTGCCTTTATCTTGAGTAAAGCAATAGTGAACTACAGATAAAATTTATCGTTTTAAATTCTTATTTTTTAAAGCTGATTTGTATCATAATTGCCAGTAATAGTTATATATTCCCTTTTCAGTTTTAACACAGTTCCTCAATGTATGCTTAAATCCTGATAACGAAGTTGACTATATACTTGAATATTTGAAGATTGGTGGAAATTCACATGAAATACTTCGGCAAATAACACAAGACAACAAGAAAAATCTAACATTAGCAACACCAGCTTTCCATCTATTTCATCTTATCATTGTTAAAGTACAATCTTCTTTACCACATATGATTACAATCACAGAAGAAGCTTGTCGGTACTTCCTCAACACATTTATCCCGACAGTTGAAATTATGATTAGTGAAAACTCCGGTCCAAGGCATAGGAAAATAATTCTGAATCTATTAACATCCATGGTAACATTAAATTCAGATTTAGGTGTGGAAATACTCAACCAATTACCATTGACTCCAAAACATTTACAATATATTCTAGAGAAACCTAATTATAAAGAGAAAGACAATGTTAGAACAGCATTTGTGCATTTCATGACTTCATTTTTAATTGAAGGTCATTTACCACTTATAAAAGCGTTGCTAGAAAAGCAAGGTCTTCTCGGTCTAGTCATACCAGGGTTGGTACACGATGAGGCTGAAGCTGTATTAATATTTTTAAACATCCTCAAAAAGAATATAATTGACAATACATATATATCAAAAACATTAAAACTAAAAACTTTTAATCAGCAAGTCTTGTATAATATGTTCAAAGTATTTTCATGGAAGGGTCCTCCGGAAATGAATAGTGAACTGAGAAATAAATTACGGCCGGAAATAACAAATCTTTTATCTGAAATTATGGTAACATTGTTTACTTCTCATAGACTAGGACTATATTTTATTGATAACTCATTAGGAACAACAGATGTTAATAAAAATCCAAACTTGTATAAAGCGTTGCTCAGTTTGAAACGACCTTGGGAGAATGAAAATGAATGTGATGTGATATTACAAATCATTCATAAATGCCCAGATTTGCACCGAGCTATTATAAGCGTTGTTGAACAAAGTTTTCAACCGCAACATTCACCGATTTGGGAAAGAACAATTGAGTTCACCATAAAACTAATTGAGAAGTTAAAACCAGAGGATGTTGTACATAAAATGAAAAATTTAACACCCCTACAAACTGCTAATTTTATAAGATTTGTAACACTTCCTGTGCCACTATTGAAACATATTCAACCGAATATCGGACAAGATCGAACCATATCTTTATACTGTGCTAAAGTATTAGTGAAAATGTTACAAATGTTGAAGCGTTATATTCAAATTTTAGAATCTGTTGATAATCAATCACTTATAATAGAACTTAAAAATAAATTGGAATATTTTTTCCCTAAACATTTACCTCCACCGTCAACTATAGTGTTATTAATTCAAAATGTTATGAATGTGTCAAATAATTCCGTAGAATCAAGTCAAGATTACAGCATACCTAAACCTGATGATGCAGATTCTTTGTTGGTTCTCGTAGAGTTATTACTTCTATACAATTTTATCCATCCAGCGTTCTTTGAATCACTTGAAGGCAACATAGATATCAGAAGCATACTTGATTATTCAATGAATATTTCTAGTAACACATCTTTATTGAAATTTAAAATAGTATCATTATGGCTTATGTTAGACAGTTCTGCGGTGTCAACAAAAAATCCAATGTTCAAAGATCTGTTCCGTATAATGCTTGATGTTTACACAAATGATACAGATGACACTTGGCTCCAAACAAAAGATACTTTGCATATATTTTTTAAGAATACAAACATTTTTGAAGATGACGAAGACGAAATTCATATTGTTTTATACGCATTACGTAAAGTCAAAGTCAATCCTATTTCTCTAATTGGTGATATTGTTGAATACGCTATAAAAAATAAAAAAGAATTAACAACATTAGTAAGGAACCAAATTAACTCATTAGAAATATCAGATGCAAATAAAGATGAAAATTTAGATGCACTATTTAATGGATTAATGAAAAATAAATGCAATGATGATAATATTTTTATGGACAACAAAACTCCATCGCCATTTGTAATAGCTTGTATACAATATACAATGCCAAATAAAGACGCAAAGAAGAGTTTAAAACAATTTCTATCTCTTTATATCGCAAATTTACTTCATTCCAATTATTCTCCGGAATTAACTGAGATTTTAATGGGTGACTCGAAGGTAGATGTTAGGAATTACGTTGCAAGTTGGATGGGAGAACCGATTACCTTAACAGATGTCGTTGTTGGAAAAGACAATGTGTTGTGTAATTTATCTAAATCTATAATTGCCAATGAAGATTTAACAATTGAACAAATATTTACATTCCTAGAAAAATCTTCGGATGAGGAAAAAGATATAGAAATTGCAGGTTGTTTAAAAATAGTAAAAGCAGTTAATAATTCTGAATTATTAATATGGTCGAGATATCTTATATTTTGTTTTGTTAAATTGACACAAATTAATAGATTCACAGAAGTGGAAGAAGATAAAATAAAACGTTATATTGATTGTTTAATTGAAATTTGTAAAAAACAACACACGGGACAAGTTTGTCGAGATATAATTCTGAATATGTTTAAGAATACACACGTACTGAAAATTTATACACCAATAGAACAGAAGAGAAACGAAAGCGATGTTATCGCAACAAAACTTCTACTTCACGTGTTGACTAAACATTCAGAAATCGTTAATTATTTGAATAAAAAGAAAAATATATTACTACCTTATCAAATGAAGAATTTTAAAGAAGTTATGAACATTTTAAAAAAGATAAAAAAGAAAAAATATATTAAATCACAACATACCGTTAAGATACTTGAAGAAGTTGGATTACGTAAAAAAGATGATATGTTAATTATGAATTATATATTTAACGCTGATTTAAATACTTGTGTTAGTGATGAGAAAGAGCCAAGTTTATCATTAGAAATACTATGTGTTATAATAACGAAGTATTCAAAGACAATCAAATTAGATTTACCGCAAGACGTGTTGTTGAAATCATTAAAAATGTACTGTCAGTTATTGAAGAGTTTAGAAATAAATATAAATTTAACAAGCATGGAAGAAGCATTGATATGTTATTTTGAAAACAAACCACAATACGTTAGTTGCGTATCGGAAGATATATTTCGATCTTTCTTCCAATCGAATACGGTACGAAAATCCACTTCCCAATTGGCTTATACTCTACTTAAATTCGATGAAAAACTCTGTAAAATTTTCAAAGAAGAAATCGATAGACCGCAAATATTAAGTCAAAGAGAATTAACTCTACCATTAGGTAATGCTGTTTTAAATCATAAAATATTTTTGTCAAACAACAAAGAGTTTTTATCTAAAATCTACGAGGAATACAAATCTAATATAAATAAATATTTAGAAAAACCTCACAAAGCAGGTCAAATATATTTAACCAATTGGAACTTTATTAAGAAATTAATTATCGAATGTATGGACATTCAGGATTGCAAGAAAATCCTAACAAAAACCTATAAATTCGAAGTAATAGATATCGGTCATATAAATTTATATCAATCTGTATTTTTAAAGATTTGCTTACAAAATGAAGACACGAAAAAAGATTACTTAATTAATTATTATTTATCTTTGCTACATCTTCTAACAACTGCTATCAAAGAAAACATAGAAGTACGCATCGTACATACAATAGTACATAATATATTGCAAGTAACTCAAATATCAGGATTTGATATTGAACAAAAACAGGATTTTGCTAAAATAACGGATAATTCAATATGGCAAAACTTTTGCAAAGCTGTATTAAAGGCATCTTTAAGAATTAAAACCGCAAACGAATCTATGGAATCTGGATCAAAACTTTTGTGTCTACTGACAAAACTTATAAAGTTATTTTATTCGAAGGACCATGAGGATATAATAACACTATTTGACATGGTAACATCCCACTCAGAGTTCTTAAATGTAATGCTAAGTCATCATAGTCTTGAAATTAAATCAAGATTAGTTGAGAATCTTTTCGCTTTGATATCTATAAATAAATCTGTTATGAAACCGCAACAAATACCGGTTTACTTGAGCGCGTACGGCGCAACTACAGGCTCATGTGACAAGATTATTTTATCTATTTTACATTACTACGAAAGCAATGGACTACCTGTGAATGAATATAAACCATACGTGTGGGGTGATTCTGCGGCTAATTACTACGCTGTCCGTAAAAGTAGAACCTCTTCATTATGGGGACATCCGACTCCAAATCAAGTATTGAATTTATTCGATAAAGATATAATTCAAAAGACTGTACGTAATTTTCCAGTCAATCAAAAATTAGACTACAATTATGAATTACCTGAATACAATGAAATAGGAGTTTTAAATAAAAAAGAATCTTTTAAAACAGTTTCAAATGAAGTATTCAATGAATATAATATTAAACAAAATGATAATGAATCGGCAATTAAATGTTTGCTGGAAAAATCTCGATTTGAAACAATAATGTTGAAATTCAAAGAGAATGATATCACAGATTTTTCTCATATAGACGCTGATGAAGAAATATATGATCCAGTGTTCGTATTTTCTTTATTAAGTCATCTCTTGGCACCTGGTTCTGTAGCTTCGTGTTTCAAGCTACTGCGCACTGGTCTACTGTCAGTTCCTGTGATGGCTTTAAGTTCTCACTGCCCAATGATGAGATCTGCAGCTTATCACGTTCTACATAGATTCTGTATGTTGCTTGAAACTGAAACGTAAGTATTCTTGATCCTATTTGTTAATTTAAATGTGGGTATCCATTGCTGAAAGACCTGTGCAAAAATGTATTCATCCCTTTCATTTCATTTGCCAGAACAGAGACAATTATATTTTTGTACATGACTTTTAACATTGAAAACCTATAGTTTATACTTTTAGGAAACTGTTCCTTGTAATTATGTGAAATAATTCTGTATGTAATAAATATTTTCTTTCTAGAAAACACAAGAACGACAAACTTTTCCTCGGCGATTTCATCACGACTTTACGTATGAGTTTATCAACTGCTATCACTGATTCAGCAAATGAGATAGATGGTCAGAATCCTCGACTACCCGCAGTCGGTGCGTTATACTTAGCTAAAGCACTAATGGTGTCTACAGCTCCCTTTGATCCACTTTATAAGCCAGTGAACAACTTCTTTATAGCTAAACAAATTGTTGACCTTACCAATGTCCCAGATTTCCTAAGTCTATTTCACGATAGTGACGTAGAATCAGTCGATAGAAGACAATGGATTCTTGATGTAATTAAAGATGGAACGAAAACTATGACAGATGTAAATGTTGTTTTCAAAAGTATGTGTTTAAAAATGATAATGGACTTTTATTCAACTGAATTATGTGATCGTAAGACAAAAGAAAAGATTGTAAGTGCACTTAATTCTATAATAACAGTTCCAAAAGCTTTTGATATTTTAATTAAAGGGTACGGATTTTTATCGTGGTTACATTACGCGGTGAGACAGATTAGGAAAGATGAGAAATGTGTTGTTATACAGATGTTTGATTTAATTAAAAATATGTTCTATAGTTTGCGGATAGATTCTCTATTAAAATTTTCTTTAACAAATAATGTTAACGGTAAAATTGATGCAATGAGTAATTTGAAGGTAGACAAAGAAATTGAATTTAAAATCTTATTAATTCTTATTGATTTATCTAATTATTTAGAAGGATTGGAACTTACTGAGTTATACGAATATGTGGGTACATACAAATTTGTTTCAAAGAAGACAATAAAGTTGTTGACTAAGAAACAAATTTTAAATGTAATTAATAAATGTATTCCTTTATTAAACGTTGACGAAAGTGTTGATTTGTTGTCTAAAGCTGTTGTCAATGGAGCCAGGATTTTAAAAAGTAATAAAATCATTAATTTGGAAGATATTTCTATGGATAATTGTATTATTAAAGAATTGACAATTCTGGTGCAAACTTATCTAACTTAAGAATTTTATAAGCATGTTTCATTTGTAAATATAATTTGAAATAAATTAATTTTTAATATAATTGTTTTTCTCTTCGGCAAGTAATTCCGTGAACTGTATTTTCTATAGACATAAAGATAATTTATTTTCTATTACTTTTCTTAATCCTAAGTTTATTAAGTTCAATTTTTATCACTAGTGTCACCCGTGACTGTCCGCGCGGAAATAAAAAAAATAATAGCTTATGTGTTCTTACAGACTATGTTCTACATCTGTGCCAAATTTCTTCAATATCCCTTTAGTCGTTCCGGAGATACCTTGTAACAAACATCCATCCATCTATTCATCTAAACTTTAACATGTATATTAGTAAGATTGTGCACTTGAATATAAATTTTACTTCAAATCCAATGTACCTTAAAGGTTATGGTTACACGATCCTATTTCCATGGCAACCGTGTTTAAACTATCCAAATTCTCATATAATTTACCTCAGTTGTTAACCAAAAAAGTTCAGTGATGTATTCTTTATTTAAGTATTTATTTGAACTCAAAGTGTAAATCGTCAATACATGTTTTAATCTTTAAATTAAGAAACAGTTAACTAGTTTAAGTCAGTGTAATAAAGTGCTTGAGGGTTCAGAAATGAAGGAAACACATAAAAAATATCTTAGGCTGAAGTATTATGTGGTAAGTCATTTAATTGATTTTGTCAACATTTACAGTTAAGCAAGGAATAAATGACGTCATAAATATTTGCTCAGTATAGTTGTCTACTTCTTCATTTCAATCTTACTTATATTATAAACGCGAATGTTTAGATGGATGGATAGCTGGAAGGATGGATGTTTGTTTGAAGGTATCTCCAAAACGGGTCAACGGATTTTGATGACATTTGGTACAGATATAAAATACAGTCTTGAAGAACACATAAGCAACTTAAGTTTTCTTTTAATTTCACGCGGAGTCGTGGGCGACAGCTAGTTAAATTACATCAAACTATATTTAGCTATAAAAAATCAATATACATTCAATGCCTTAATATCATTTCTCGATTCCCTAACTTTAAAGACTTCAATTTACTTGACAACCTTTGAAAGATGTTTAAAGTAACATCGTACATCTTTTCGCACCGAGATGCATGTGTTCCGAGAACAGATATTGACAGCGGGTGTTATGGACTAACACCATATGCAGTTGTACAAGTCCGGTCGGCATCATCGATAAAGCATTCCTACACGAGAACTCGTTTGTTACGTTGACTTTAGGGTTCCCTATTCCCAGGTTACACATAAAGAATTCGTTATCTGCTGTATTGAATCAGTTTATGTCACTAAAGTCCCTTTAATTATATTTAGTTTGAGATATAAACACTATGGGACTGTTTAATTAAGTATATAATAGAGGACGGTTTTAATTTTTTTTTATTTAACGTCTTGGGAGGAGCGTGATTTTTAATACTGGTTTCTTTTAATGTTACGTTATGACATATTATGTTCCTTATGAATGATTCCGGAAATATAATTTAACGCGTGGAAGGTGGAAAAAGCTTTTAAAAAATAATAAAGAAAATGTAATACAGAAGTGTCGGTGGCTCAGTGGTCAAGCACTTGACTTGCAATCTGCAGGTCCTGGGTTCGAATCCCGCCATGTGCCAATGTGTTTTTAGATCTCCGATTTACATATGTACATTTATCCGACGTTCTTACGGTGAAGGAAAACATCGTGATGCAACCTGCACATATCTGAGAAATAATTCAAAGATATGTGTGAAGTCAACCAACCCGCACTTGGCCAGCGTGGCTGACTATGGCCTAATCACCCTTAACTTAGAGTAGGCTCCGAGCCCCTCGGTGGGGACGTATAGTGAGCTGATGATGATGAATACAGAAGTACAATATTCAATCGCGCCAAAGGATTGTAATTAATACATGTCTAAAAGTATATCGTTAGTGTGGTTAATTTAAAATAACGGAATGAAAATTGCGTCTTTTGTATTTTATATATACGGAACTGTGAAAGAGCGTTGCGACTCTCGCTTGCTAACTTTTTAAATTGTAACAGTTCAAGACGTCGCACTATTTTTAATGTACGAGAAAAAAGTACATGTGATATATTGAAGTGTTGTACAATATATCAATATTTCTTTATTTGTTCGTATCTCAATTGTTCTAGATCTGTAATAAACTAGTCTAGGTTCACGTACGTTTGATTGCGACAGACGGAGACATAGGTCACGCTCTGTGTATTTGGTATGAGAAATCTACACTTAAGAACAGTTTGACTGTAATTAAATGACTCTGAGAGGCAGTGAGTGTATTTAAATGTAAAGTTCATTTTACAAAATACACGATATATTTTAATTATGAACATAACTTGTTCAATTTGATTCAAGGTGATTTTTTTTAAACATCTGATGTAATGAAGGAGCATAAAACATTGGGAGTGCAGAGTCTGAAGTCGGTTGACCATAAATGTCGCGACATCGTCTGACCGGCGCTCTGTGACGTCTTATTAATATATCAACGGGTTATAAAAACATTCACAAGATTTGATGCTCATAAATGATTCGCGGTAAACTACGCATTAAGAAAGTCGGAGCGAAGTGTACCGCGAACCAGCAGAACAGATGCTGCTGAAAATTGCCATAGATGTGGAACATGGCCTGGAAGAACACATAAGGTACTAATTAAGTTTTTTTTTAAGTCCGTGCGGGCGACGCAGCTAGTGTTATTATATAATATGGGTGCTTGTAAACGTTAAATGCATTTAATAAATAATAAATAAATAAATGTCTCTTGTAATTTTAATCTTGATATTTCTTTCCTGAGTGCGGCTCTGGCGATGTCAGATGTTATCGATATCGCATGTCGTTAGCGGCACAACACTAACAAGCCGAACCCCTAGTAATGAATAGTGCATACATTGCAATGTCTCTTACAGTATCGACAAATGTCAATGTATTTTGTTGATGGTTTTATTTCTATGAAAATTGTAGAACAGTTGCTTAAGGTTTTTTTTATATTATAAGGTGGCAAAGAAGTAGGCGGCCAACTGAATTCGTGGAAATGCGACCGCTGCCCATAGACATCCCTAATTGCAGATGCGTTGCCTTTAAACGACAGAGGAGGACACTAGAAATTTAGTGACGTACATTAACAATAAAATGCTGTTCTAACCACTATAGGATTAAGTATAATTATGTAGGAAATTCAGATTTATGGTTACATTAATTTGAAACGACGAACTCGTTTATCAAATAGACAACTGGTATAGACCACGCCTACGTAAATACGTTTACTTAAGTCTCCATAAATAAAGCTTAACGAAGTGTTACGTATATTTTATTACACGTTATTTATGTGATAAAGCAAATTAAAATTGCATATTTTTATGAAACGACAAAATCCGATTTGCGCAAGAAAACTTAATAATATTAGAAATGCGATTAGAAATAGATTGATGGATGTTTGTTTGAAGGAGTCTCAAGAACGGATATAAGGATCTTGGTGAAATTTGGCATATATATAGAACATAGATTGAAAAAACACATAGGCTACTAATTGAGATTTTTTATTAACGCGCGGATGTAGTTGCGAGACTAAACTAAAAGACATTTTTTAATAACTTTTTATTCGCTAAACCAATCAAATCTTTTCTCTTTATTAGTATAGAAAATGCAAACATTTTTTTGTTAAGATATAAAATAAACTTTATATATTGTTGCCGACAGATACGGAACATCTTTAATATGTTTCATAATTTTTATATTTTTGTATTTGGAACTTTATATATATTTTCCTTCCTTTTTGTCTCTGTATTTTATAGCAGTTGTAAATATATCATCTAACAGTGCGTGCTTTTCTCTTTTTTTTCATAATTCTATTTTATCTTTTTATTATCTTTATATATATAATTCTTCTGTGAGTGTGTATGTCACTGAACTTCTCTCAAACGACTGGACCGATTTTGATGAAATTTTTTGTCTGTGTTCAAGGGGATCTGGGAATGGTTTAGATTTACAATTTTGTCCGCTGGACAATATTTTTTTAATTAATTTTTAATTTATTAGTAGTTGATGATTTTGGAATGTTTTACATTGGATCCGACAGACGGCGCTGCCATCGCAGTGTCAAATTTTAAATAATATTCGAATGTTAATTTTAGCTTATTAAAAAAAGTTTGAAATTTTCAAATTAAAGACGTGTAGACAGGACAACGTCTGTCGGGTCCGCTAGTACAATATAATATTCCAAAATTCATTCTAATCCAACCGCTCTTTCCATCCATCATATTTTCCGTCGTCTTTATATATCTGATATAAAACTATCATATTATAAATTTCTATTTAATTTACAAACTCATATGAGTAATGATTTCAATTTACTCGCGAACATACACGCGTGTAAAATTATCATTACTAGTAATATAATTTAATCAATTTGTCAGTACGCCAATGCGTTATCGTACCGCTATTAATTAGACTGGACAGCTGCTCGCAGGGCTACTAGTATTTCGCACCTTGTGTACACCGGCTCTTGTTATTATTTTATTTATAACAAATGGTATGATACGGTTTTATTAAACTCAACATAATTTAACAATAGCTTTCAAAGACGTTATCCAAAGACTTAATTAGTTAATTAGGAGCTCACGTGTTCTTCCAGACTATGCTCTACATCTAAGTCAGTTTGGCAATTTGCATTCGCTTCGAAGCGATTCCATAACTAACTTTAAAAAATGTATGGAACTGATACACGACAATCACGTGACTTATCGAAAGTTGTTGTCAATTATACATTTTTGAAGTTTGTTATGGAATCGCTTCGGTCCTAATGCAGGTATCCTAGCCCCCAGGGATACCTAAACAATTCGTAACCTTCTCCGGAAAGTCATGGGATGTCAAATTTTGCAATCCACAAATAAAATGTTTTATTTACCTTTTTAAAATACGTTTATGTCATAATAATTCAAGTAATAACCATAAAAAATTAAAAAGTATTTGTGGCTTTCTGCAGTAAAACTATAATA